AGTTATGAATACATGAAATGGATACATATAAGAAAAATAAAAAGAAACCTCCATGTTTAGGAGTAGTGTACCTCCGAGGACAAAGAATGAAAATAACTGGGCAGAGGGCGATCAAGCAGGCGGGTCTGACCCAAGAGGATCAGGCGCGAGATCTGGATCTGGGCTCTTCTGCGCGGGGAGGAAGCGGGGGGCGCAATCTTTGCCTTCCAAGTCGGGGTTTGGGGCCGCCCGCATTCGAGCTGCAGGGAGGAAGGCTCGCCTCTTTCTTCTCCTTTTGATGCACCAACAGGAAACACATTGGCGGAAATGCTGCCTTCGCCTCCTGCGGCCTGCTTCCAGGGTCCTCTGCCCGCCGGCGCACGTCAGAAGGCTGGCTCAAGAGAGAGCCGCGCCGACTGCGTCCTGCCGCCCACCCAAGATCCGGCAGGTCGGATCTTTCCCTCCAACAATGCGCTCTCCGTTAAAGTCTAGTAGTCCGTCTGAATCGACAAACCTGCCTCTTAACGGGTGGGCTTGGGACGTTAGGAACCCTGGCTAGTTGATGCTCACTTGCCAGCTTTCTGTGCTGTGGTTTTCGACCCCTTGGACGCAAGTGATTTGCATTACAACTCCCACGATCCCTTTTCAAAACTGCCTGATGGAAGCTGAAGCACGTGGAAGGAAGTAGGTTGGGGTCCCCAATCTATGAGTCTTTTCGGGATGCCCCCTCCTCCGCCAACCATGTTAAATAAGCACCCTGTGTGTCATCCTGTGTGATTTAGCTCTTGTGCAACCTTCACATCATACAGTTGGATTGAGTAAATTATGAGTAAAGTAATGGGGGATTGTGCTAATACAGTTAGCCCTCGATTTACAATAGTTCATTTTAGTGACTGCTCAGTTATATTGTCACTGAAAAAGTGACTTCTTACACTTTTTTCACACTTACTATTGTTGCAGCATCCCCATGGTCACATGATGAAAAGTCAGATGCTTAGCAACTGGTTCATATTTATGACGACTGCAGCGTCCTAGAGTCATGGGATCAACTTTTGCGACCTTCTGACAAGCAAAGTCAATGGGAAATCCAGATTCACTTAACAACCCAACCTTACTTACTTAACAAATGCAACAATTTGCTTAACTCTGGCATGAAAAGTCATACAATGGAGCAAATTCACTTAACAAATGTTTCACTTAGCAACATAAATTTTGGGCTCCATTGTGTTCGTAACTCAAGGACTACTTGTAGGTATTGCCAGAGTGGGGCTAGACATTCACAAAAAACACCTGGACTATAGCACCAGGACTATAGTTGGGCCCAAAGCGGCTTTTAGAAAGGGGGCTTCCAATTGTGAAGTAAATATTGTAGGAATCCGACTGGGAAACAATCTAGGCGGCAGCAAAAATAAGCAATTTTGCTTCCCACACATCTGTAATATTCAGGTCTCTGGCGTTAACGACACCTATGGGCATTTAAGGTACGTTAAGACTCTGCTGCATCAAGTAAATATACCCGTCTAAAAAGAAGCTAGAAATGAGAAATATTTGCTATCCGAGCTGTAAACGTCGGTGGAGTTCCGACCAGGCCTTTCTCAGCGTTCACGTGTTTCTTATGACACACTTGTGGACCAGTGAGGACTTTAACGCCGTTTAAACACTTTTGGGGAAGAAAGGCTCCAAACGCAGAAGAGCGATCTAGAGAGGGACGTCTCTTTGCTCCATGCTTTTCTCTCGGAGCGTGTAAAGAAGGAAACGCTGGGATCTTAGCCGCTCCCAAATTGCGCGGGAGGAGACCTTTCCAACCCTAAACGCTTTGCAGGAGTAACACGCGGAAGGCTGCCGCTTCCCCCATTCCTGGGCGGGGGGGGGGGGGGGGAGAACTGGGGCTGCCGCCTCGGTGTTTGTCGGGTCTAAAGATCAGTAGAATTACGAACAAGGGCTTCTTCTGAGCTTAACCAAGGGAAGGGTAAGTACTCCGAGTTGCAGAAAGCGGAGTAAGCCAGCGAGGAAAGCCGAGAAAGGGAGCTCGTCCCGCCCCTCCCTGGCGGTTCCTAACCCGCCCCCGTTTGGTGTCTCTTGCAGGGAAGCCGCTGCTGTGGAGCCCCTTCATGCAGAGGCCGCTGCACAAGCGGAAAGGAGGCCAAGTGCGCTTTTCCAACGACCAAACCATCGAGCTGGAGAAGAAGTTCGAGACGCAGAAGTATCTCTCCCCGCCGGAACGGAAGCGCCTGGCGAAAGTGCTGCAGCTCAGCGAGAGGCAGGTGAGGAGGCCGCCAAAAGCTTTTCCCGCCAAAACTGAACCTGGGGTGGGTGGAATGGAGGCTGGTGGAAGTTGCTGCAAAATAAGCCTGTTTTGGTCGTTCATTAAATCCCGAAAAGCTTGAACCCTGAGGCAACGGCCTCCAAAGTGGGATGTGCACCCGTTACAGAGCTGCCCAATACAGGTAGTCCTCGACTTAACGGCTGCGATAGAGCCCAGAATTTATGTTGCTGAGTGAGAAATTTGTTAATGTGAGTTTTTGCCCCATTTTATGACTTTTCTGGCCATTGTTTGTTAAGGGAATCACTGCCGGTGTTAAACTAGTAACATGGTTGTTAAGTGAATCTGCCTTCCCCATAGACTTTGCTGGTCAGAAGGTCGCAAAAGGGGATCATGTGATCCTGGGACACTGAGTGTCATAAATGTGAGTCAGTTGTCAAGCAGCCGAACGTAAATCATGTGACCCTGGGGATGCTGCAGCGGTCATAAGTGTGAAAAACGGTCATAAGTCACTTTTTTCAGTGCCCTAGTAACTTTGAATGGTCACTAAATGAACTGCTTTAAGTCGAGGACTAACTGTACAATCTCCTGAGGTGTGGGAAAAAATATGACAATATCTGATTATATTTTATTTAAAGCAGTGGGTTGTCAAACATTTGGGTTTCTGGGACCCGTATATTCTTATAAATTATTGCAGACCTCAAAAGAGCATTGATTTATGTGTGTTATATCAATATGTACCATATTAAAACAAAAAAATATTTGACTTTGCTGATCTTTGAAATGGGGTCCCCAGACAATAATTTGAGAACTGCAGATTTAATGCACATCTAAAGAAAGAAGTTAAGCTGTACAAATAATTTATATTAGGTATAATCAATACACCAAATGTAATTGATGTATGTGTATATGTTAGTATAGTAATATTTAATTTATAAATAAGCATACATATGTTGAGGTGCACGCTATTTTTTTTTTAACTGATAAGGTGTGAATCAGAAAAATGCAGAGAGGATCCACTATGGATTACATTCAACCCACAGGCTGTTAGTTTGAAAATTAAGTATCACAATAATTATTTCCAAATTCCACAAATCCTACCCACTGATCCCCTCTGCATAAAAGCAAGCTGATATGCTTTTATCATTTGGAACAGAGCTGTGCCCTCTCTGTGCAGGATCAATGCAATTAGACGTCATTGTCATTCTGATAGGCTCTTTTTTTCTTGCTTGAGAAAGTCTCTTAATTTGGGAACAGAAAGGGGATGGGATAAGGAGACTTTAAGTGAATGTCATTGCTCTCAAATCTTCTGCCCTTTCAGGGGCTTGAAAAAACAAAACAAAAAAGTGGCTCTCCTTTTCAGCTTCTTAAATACTGTAGACATATTTCACTTACAGGGAGAACTTCCTGTAGACAGGTTAATTCAGAAGTCACATTTCAATTACTCCAATACTATTAAAAATATCTAGTTTTTGAATGGGCATTTACAGTATTGCAATGTCTGATGAGTATCCCAGGCAGATAAGCCTGTATTGGATTGTAGTTTTTAGAGGGGTTTTTCCCTCATATTTTAAGTTTTTTTCTCCCCCAATCAGGTTAAAACATGGTTTCAAAATCGGCGGGCAAAATGGAGACGCTTAAAGCAGGTAAGTGCAATGTTTCCTGCTCCTCAATCTTACTAGCTATTCCCAGATTCTTGTACTTGAGGTAGATCAGAATCATAGGGAGTGCTTAATTATTTCAGCTTGTTTAAGAGGACAAGTGGCATTCCAAAACATTACTTTTGAAAAGCTCCTGAATCACGGCAACATGTTTGTTTTTGCAAAAATTGTGGCATGTTTACCTACTGCTAGCAGTTTCCTGTGCTAAACGGTACATGCCCACTGTTCACATGCAGTTATTGAATCCTAATCAAAATAAATTCCCATGAACACATTACCTGGGTTCACACATTACCTTAGGCCATGATGTCTTGTTTTAACCATGTATTGATAAGTGAATCATAGTTCACACAATGTGATAAGCTGAAAAATGTACTTTGCAATTAGAAGGGTTATTCATATATAGCATGGTTAATCAAAACCAAACCAAGCACATTATACAATATCAGTATGATTTCATTTTGGAATTCATACTTGAATTAAGATGCAGTTTTCTAACTTTGAAACTATCTGTCCAGTTGATTTCCCATAGAGCAGAAGCAACCTACAATGTAATTTGTCTAATTTTGATGATTACCTTTCACCCTTTTTTATCTTTTAACAATTCACCTTCTCTGTCATTATTTTCAAATACCAATTTAATTTATGGCGCTATAGATTTCTTAGTGTTTTCTCGTACAAATATTAACAATCTAGTTCTGCTTAGATTTCTAAGATGAGCCAAGGTCAGGAAGATGTTGCTGACGTTGGTCAGCTGAACTTTTACCCTAATATCTAGCTACTATTTTTATTAAAGAGTGGAATGGCTCACTTAATTTTTTTATTTTATTAATTTATATGCCACCCATCTCACTATCAAGTGATTCTGGGTGGATTAAAATCTCATAAATTACAGGGTAACAAATTGGAATGTTAACAAAATAGAGGATTCAAAGTTAAAACATTAAAATTAACAAGGAACCAAATAAAAAGGATTCATATATAAATCGGGTGGAGGTAAGATATTCTCCTAATCTATTAACTGCCTCCAGAATGGGACTGTCCTAAACCAGTTGGCAGAATTAGGTTTTCAGAAAATTAGATTTCCATAGTGCCCAAAGGAAGCTTGAAATGACCAATATTTTCCAAACTAGTGGTTTTCTCACCAAATAGTCTTGATTCCATGACTTCTGTGTTTGTTCTCAGGAGACCCCTCAACCCAACAAAAAAGAGTCAGAAAATGGAGACAGTCTTCAGACTTCCAAACAAGAAAATTGCTTAAGTCCCGAGATGGATAAGGGAGTTTCTCCACGTAGGTCACAATATACCCCTTCACCTGTCTCCCAAGAAGAGTTGGATTCGGACATCTCAGATGATTCAGATCAAGAGGTGGACATTGAGGGAGACAAAGGTTATTTCAACGGTCCCCATCTGTAGCACTTGAAGATGGACTTTCCCTCTATTGGCACTTTAAGAGGAACTGGCTTGACAAAAACAATCAGTGCTATAAAAAGGGGGTTTTCTCTTCTCTTTCAGTTGGATGGAGAAAGAGGGAAGGAATAACAAACTTTGTAAATAATTGTCATTGAGTTTGTCAAGACAATCCATTTGATAAAGGAGTAGATCCTTTCATGACTGGAAGGGAATCCTATATTTGTGTTCCTCTATTTGTACTGGGATTGATTTTTTTATCCTACCCAGAATGCTGCATTCTCCTCCATAAATTTAAACATGAAGATCCTTAGACCACAGGAGGAAAAAAAGAACAATCACAACAGGGAACAACATGAAAAAGGAATTTTCTGATGTTGCAAGGAAGATTTTAGTTCTTGGGATACATCTTTTTGCAGAGATGTCACAAATGTAATAGTATGCAGAATGAAACCAGACTTTTGTCATGGGAATATCCTTCATGAAAGTACATATTCCATTAAAATAACCTTCCCTGAGGTATGGAAAATAATGTATGAGACATTATTAAATGTGTAGCAAGGTCTTAAATAATATAAATAGTAGGAGAAGGAAAAGGATCTTTATTTTGGGTTGATTTGAAATATGAATGGTCTAAGGAACTTGGTATTGGCCTATACTAGCCATGCTTGCTATCCATGGTTGGAAGGGAGAAACTATGGTTATATGTTCACATATCATGCTTAGTCATAATATAGATTTTTGGTTTGTAGATCCTAGTTTGTGTTCTGTTTTTTAATCCAACTACTGTAGCTTATTCAAGAACCCATGCCTAAAACCATGCCTTTGAATGAATTATGCATCCAGATTGTGTGAAATGATTCTACCTATGTACAGTATCCTAGAACAAGGAAGAATCCTAAGAAGGCCTTATTCACTAAGATGTTATGTAGTTTGTTTTCTTTTCGCTTAGTGTAATCTATAAGTCATGCTATAATGTGGTGTATGATGTAGATCATTAGAGCATGTTCAAAATCCTGGCTGGGTTCCCATTCTTTGTGGCTTAGAATCTTACATTGACACAGCCAGTGTGGTTTATATAGCAGAGTTTACTTGTATGATTTCAGTAAACAATGGCTAAAGAATACCAAAGACCAACAGATGAGAATGAAGAAGCTTCTTGAATGAGAAGTGAAACATTTTAAAAGAAAAACGAAGTCCGGTTGCCTTTTGAAAAAGCACCTTTGGAACAACTATGATCTGGATGATTGAGAATCTCCATATACTGTACCAGAGACCAATAGACACTAACTTTGCTTTTTTCAAACTGTTACCCTCCAGATGTGTTGGGCTATAGCTTTATCTGTTCCCAAACCACTTCTGTAGCCCAATACATCTGAATGGGCACCAGATTAATGAGGGCTGCAGAGGACAGCACAAGGGAAATATTACTGTGCACCTCCGGCAGCCTTTGTCTTTACAACTAACACTATTACATGTAAACATAAGCCCCATTAATTCAGTGGGATTTATGTCCCAGATGTATATAAAATTGAATACTATTTTTTAAAATATTCAGTATATATTTCATTTATTTTAATACTTTTTAAAAATGTTATATGTATGAGTATATATGTGCATATGTATGCTCTTAAAGATGGGGACTAAAACAAAACTAATGGATTTGGTTACTTGCTCTTTATGTTCTGCTAACTACTTTTATATAAGGATCTGTTATGTTTAAGTAAAGCTTGCTTGCACATTTCGTTCTGAGAGTCCAGAGAAGCCATGTACTTATCAGGCTAAGAAATGCCTACATAAAAACTTTAATGAGATTGTCTTTCTAAATGTGATAGTCTATTGCCTTTCTTCTGCATCTATTTGCTCTGCATTTTAAACAGCCTGGCTAAAAAAAACAAGGCATCCTCAGTTTGATCTTCATCTTGCTAACTGCACCCATGAAGGTTCCTAGGTAATGTTACTGAAATAGTTAGCCTCTCCCTTCTTCTGGAATGATGTTTCAATTTCTGCCCAATACGGATGGATTTCCAAGTAGGCCACAAGCAAAATCCTTACCCAGTTGAAGATTATGAAACTATTATGAGATGCTGAAGAGAAATTTTCAGGAAATGAATTTAGGGTTTGTCTTATACCAAGTGATGCTGCTAAGCCATAAAAAATGATCTACAGTATACAGTGATTATGTATACAGTGATACAGTATACAGTAATTATGCCGATGAATTCTGGCATCTTGAACTGAGGGGACTGCAAAATGATTGCATATGGCCCTGGAACCGGAGTTTGCTGACTTAGTGAGTTGTGTGAAACACAGTTTTTAAAGCATGTTTCTATCGCCAAGAAAAACCTGCATCCTGAAAGTGGCCACCCCATGGTTCACTCCATATGGGGGCCTAACACTCTTTGTAGCCTCCCAATATCTTGAGATTGCCCTACTGAAATATGATGGCAGATTGGAGTTTTCAGTGGTACAATTTTTCCTTCTCCAAAATACAGGATGAGTAGGAAGCAAACTTGTTAAAAAGTTCCAATCTATTAAACATTCTGAAATTGTGCTCTAAAATTAAATTATTTTGCTGCCAAATATGGGTGACATAGTTTTGAGGAAGTGAGGGTAGCAGAAGCTAGAAAGAAGATTTCTAGAGGCAGTTTGGTCTAGTGGTTAAGATACAGTACCAGGTTAGAAAGCAAGAGATTTTGAGTTCAAGACCAGCCTTAGCCATGAAAGCCAGCATGGATATGCTTGTTCCCTTGAGTTGTTTGTAAAAATAATAAAGGCAGGATATAAATAAATGAATTAAAACAATAGAACTAAGAATACATTGGCTTCTAGAGGCTGCCGTTCCTATCCTTATTGCCCCCCACACCGCCAATTGGATAAAAACACCCCATTCTTTTGTTTTAAGAGCAAGAATAGTTTGATTTTCATATTTCTCTGTTCAATATTCCCACCTTTAAACAACCTAACAATCAAAATGGGTTGAAAAAATTAATATTGTTACTGGTCAATGTCCTGCAGGCTTCCAAAATGTTGAGCCGTTGAAAGTGTATCATTGCCTGCTGCTGATTGATGGCTTAACTCAGGAGTACACATCCTCCCTCTCCCAAATATTACAGCTGCCTAACAGAGCTGTAAAAAAATCAGTCTTATTTTATGATAGCTGAGAATATCTGTAGCTCAGGACTGAACTGTGGGATCCTTGGTGCTCTCTGGGCTTGGTGCTTTTCCTTTCCTAGTTTCATTATCAAATTAAGTAACATCAGTGCTAGAAGGGAGTGGAGAGGGTTGCCTGTTACATGAAAAAAAATCTACTTCTGTTGTGTCTTTGTGCCTGTTGTACAGTAAATAAAATGATAGAAGGGGATCTATCATAATCTAGTTTGCAGAACAAAAGGTATGGGCAAGAAGCCAAGGTTCCTGTGCACACTGCCATATTCTCTCTGGCGACCCCTAGGTTTATCGGAGGCCATAGGTGTTCAGATTTGGAGAGGCCATGATTGTTGGTCTGGAAGAACTGGAATTGGAAATAAAGTTCAGATTCTAATTTCTGCAAACCAAGAATGTGTTGATTAATGAAAGATGAATTAAATCTTGCAACTGTGGGCACTTGCAGGTGGCAAGGGACTTTGCGTGCATCACAATCTCATCAGACAAATGATGCAGAAGACTTAATTCACATCATTTGCTCAAAGATGTGCTATCTATGATATCAAGACTTCCGACCACCCGGGCTTTCATCTTAAAGGGCCACTTGCAATAGGGAGTAATATTACAATGCATTTACTCCCTTAACTTGCTACAGAAATTTAGTTATATGACCATAGCCAAAGAGTAGGATGATAGATACTGTGTTTTTATCCTTCCTGCTGCTATTTTTGTTGTGTAATTGTTTCATTTTTTATGTTTAACCACAGAAAAGTATAATATCAGAGACTTTTGGATTTACTTGTGAAATAAAACTGGGCCAGTGCCCACCCCAGGCAGTTAGTAATATGGTTTAAATAACCAGCCACATATTTCATTGAATATTTGTAATAGATTACTTCCAAATATATTTAAAAGCAAGTATGTGTCACTGTCTATATGTGTAGCAGAAATCCTGGCAAGTTTCTCGTCCTTCTAGTTTGACTCCTTGTAAGTACTAAATGATAATATAGAGATAGCAAACTTTGGGCTCGGTAAATCAACATTCTTCAATTTGTATGTATCTGTGCGCACACGCATTTAAATCAGTGTTGACTCTTAGTGACTGGCTGAATTAGTCTTTGCAGTTTTCTCAGCAACATTTTAAAAAGTGGTTTGCCCACTTTTCATTCTTAGAGCAGATAGAGTGGTTTTCATTGTTCTATTCTTAGGGCAGATAGAGAGTGCCTGGCTCAAAGGTATCCAGATTGCTTCATGCAAGGCAGAACTAGAATTCAGCTCTTCCAGTTTCTTCTGGTACTTTTAACCAGCTCACCAAACAGGCTCTCATCCTTAATTCAGTGGTACAAGAATCTTCTTGAGTTTAGCATTTAACATTGCTTTAAGTACATGTTTTCAAAAGTTTGTAAGAAGACCATTTTTTTCACTGAAACACTACATTATTTGGGAGAAAACCTTAAGAAAGGGGACTTGCATGACAGATGTTGCAATGTCAGAGATTTAACTGGAAATGTACAGATTTCCTGTGAATGGCTGTAAGAAGGGAGCAAGAAACATCCAAGATAGTCTTTGTCGACTTAGTGCTCCACAAAAATGTTGGATAACCAGCTTCCTGATTTTTAGACTCAGTGACAAGGGATTATGGGACTTGCCCTAGATAAGGACATGTCTGTTAGAAAGGTGGTGCTTTTCTGGAAAAGTTACTTTTTAAAAAATAAACTTTATTAGTCTTTTATATCTTTAAAAATCGAACCAAAAATATACATATTATGACATTAACAGTATATGACATCTATCTCATAAACTTCTATTTGGTGCTTATTTACAAATATATGCAATTTATGTGAATGTAAACCTTTAATCTATAGGTTGCTTATCATTAATTCTTTCATCAACCATTTGTCTTAATTCAATCCAATCATACCATTTTCCCCAAATTCTATAATATTCAGAGTCCTTTTTCTCTCATAACATCAGGGTTAATCTATCCATCTCAGCACACACCATTATTTTTTGAATGATCAATTCGTCTGATGGTATATAACTGTGCTTCCAACATTGAGCGTAGGCAATTCTAGCAGCCATTAAAATGTGTAATATTATATATTTTATATTTTTTCCACATTTCTTTTTAAATATCCCTTAGAAGAATAATTCTGGTTCCAATTCTATTTGTTCCTTAAGGACCATTTTTTACATTTTAAGCCAGTACTTCTGGGCTTCTGAACAAGACCACCACATATGATAAAAATTACCCTCTTTCTTGCACTTCCAAAATGCCGGATTCATGTTGGGATACATCTTTGCCAATCTCGCAGGAGGCAGGTACCATCTATAAAACATCTTTATAGATGTTCTCTTTATATGAGGCTGATTTTGTTAATTTACAATTTAGGTACCAAATATTCTCCCACTCGGTCAAATTTATATTGTGTCCAATGTTTTGAGCCCAGGCTATCATACATCCCTTAACCACCTCTTCTTCCAGTTCTACATCTAACAGATATTCATAGATTTTTGTGATATGTTTTTTATCTGGACCTGTTAGAATTTTATCCAATTGTTGTAGTTCCAAATATATTCCGAAATCTTCTATGTCTTTTTTGTACCTGTTTTGTAGCTGAAGATATGCCCATCAGTCGATGTGTATCCCTTGTTTTTGAAGGTCCTGGATCGATTTTAAGTTTCCTTGTACGTCTAAAACATCTTTATATTTTGTCATTTTATATAAGTCTAAATTGTATCATAGCTTCCATTGTAGATAGCCAAATTGGAATTTTCATATAATGTTTTTAATTTTAATCCAATTTTGTAGTTGGGAATCTCTAATCAAATGCCTGTGAAAATATTGTTGTTTTTTAGTTCCTGTTTCCCACAAAAAGGCATGCCATCCTCTTTGCAGGTCATGGCCCTCTAAACTTAATATTCGCTTATTAGTTAGATTAACCCATTCTTTAATCCAGATTAACATCGTCGCATTGTACTATAATTCCCAATTTGGAAGTCCAAGTCCCCCTCTGCTTTTAATATCTTGTAGTGCTTTCATCTTTATTCTAGGTTTTTTGCCTAACCAAATAAATTTCGTCGTAAGTTTATTAATCTCACTAAAAAAAAATCTCTACTTTAATGGGGATCATCTGAAATAAATACAGGAATTTGGGTAAGATGGACATTTTAATGGCTGCTATTCTTCCTAACAGTGATAACTGTAATTTAGCCCATAAGTCTAAGTCTTTGTTTGTTTGTTGTATGAGTTATAATTATTCTCCTTTATTGTTATACATTGAGCAGTCCCAAATCCTGGAAAAGTTACTTTTACTGTATGAAACAGCCTCTCAAAAATCATAGTTAGCAATGCAGGACCATTGAGGAGTAAAGGTAGTCCTTAACAAACAATTTTGTTTAGTGACTGAAGTTACAATGGTACTGGAAAAAAAAAAAAGGACGACTATCACAACATCTCTATAATTTATGTGCTTGGCAACTAGCATGTATTTATGATGGTTGTGGCATCCCAGGGTCACATGACCATCATTTTGTGACTTTTTCAGGTGGCTTCCAACAAAGTCAATGGGCGAGCCCGGATTAACTTAAGGACTGCACGATTCACTTAACAGTTGCAGTGATTCCCTTAATGACCATGGCAAAAAAAAAAAAAGGTCAAAATCAGGTGTGATTCTGTC